TATATACTTCCTGCCAATGAACAGATGTATAAATATTTCTGGTTCTATATTCTTTGGATTCAATCTTAAATTGGCTTGTAAACTATTTAAGGATTACTCTAAGGGCTTAAATTTATGACATCATTTCCAATGAAATGACGTTTATACTCCCACGATCTTTTCCAACTCTAGATATTATTTATAGCCCAGAAGGGTATTGGATTATGACTAATGCTGAATGTGCATATTATAAATATTTTATTTCTCCACTTTTTCATTCCTCTTCTTTTATTCATAGTGTACTCTTTCCTTTACATTTCATTACTTTTCAAATCTTGTTTTACTTCTTTTTCCTTTAGTAACCTGTTTTTGTTTTCCTTAATCATCCTTTTTGTTTATCCACCTTTGTTTTTTCCTTTATTTTCATTACTTTTAAGTCTTCTTTTTTTTTAAATTCTTTTTCATTTAATGACCTGTTTTTGTTTTCTTTAATCATCCTTTTTGTTTATTCACTTTTTTTTTGTTTCCCTTATTATTTTTACACTTTTATCCACACTTTGTAACATAAAGTCTACTTTGTTTAATAAGTCATCCTGATGCAAAAAGGAAAGCAAAACAGTAGAAGACAGAGAACGAAAAAAATCCAATTCGGGATTCTTTCCTAATACTTACAAAATATTGGAAACCAGTTTTAAATCTTAAATCACAGGTGAATAAATCTAAGGAATTTAACGCAATTGTGATGTACCTTTGCAGATTGTAACCACTAATAAGTATAGTAGCAGTCTAGTAAGTCACATGACCACATAGGCGTCATTAGTACCGATGTAACTTATTAGTGCATGTGTGACTTAACACATGTGTGACTTATTAGCACATACGTGCCTTGTTAGCAGTCTATGATGTCAGTATCTCGTCTAGTCATTTTAATAGAGAAAAAATGTGTTTACAGGCAACTCGACCTGAAGTGGTGTTTGCGTTTAGATTAATTTTGACCAAGACGGAGGGTATTTTTAAATTTGCTGAATCTACTGGTTTTCGCACTTAGATTTATTTGGGCAATAGGTTTCACGAAGATGATGGCAAAATATTGTTATGCCCTTTCAAATGCACAATTAATAAATTCTAATTGAAAAAAATAATAAATTGTTTTAGACAATTCAAATTTGTGGGTGCGTTATTGGGCGCATTATTGCTGGTGTATTATTTGTGATTCTACAGAATGTCACTGCTCAAAAGAAACTACATGTCATGCTATTCGCATTGACTTTTTCTGCTTGGCAAGAAACAGACTGGTTATTCTTCCAGGCACCATTTGCATATGTGGTTTGATAAAATGAAATCTTATCACCTCTTTTCAATGGACTTTTGTTGGTCAAACTGAATGGTGCATACTTAGCTTGACCATGAAAATAGTCCATTGCAAACATTTCATTAGTAAAGGAGTGGGCATAAAAATGAGTAGGAAGGCTGGAGTGAATTTTTGATATAGCTACAAACATACATTTTAAATATACATTTGTGGGCTGCAATGAAATTGCCGTTGGGCTGCATGTGGCCCGTGGGTTGCACTTTACCCTATGTTCGTTAGTTGAATCTTAAAGATGGTTCTAATTCAATGTCCCTATGTCATGTAATTCACAATTTGCAATTCAAACCAGAAGCACTTTTTGCTCTGTAACAATAATGTGCTTTATCAACCTGATCAATCAATGTTTACCTACTACACCCCCATGGAACTCACTTGCATACCAAGCAAACAGGGGGGGGGGGTGCCCGCAGCCACTTTAAGACATGAGACACTTGCGCTACCTATTTTACTGAAAATTCTTATGGACTTCAACTACCATTTACCAAAATCGCACTGTGCTCTAAAAGACAACAGGAGAAAGGCCACTCAATAGTGCCAGAGAGGGCGCAATATTTACTGGTTCCCGATGGCAAAAAGTGTTCCGTCTGGTCATGATCTTGTGGCTGTTCCAAAGGTAGGCTTAGCAAGGCCCTTACCGGCTTAACATTCCGCTAACATCGTGCGGAAAATCATGGAACTAGCAATTTCACCCCAGTTATTTCCCACACTTGTGCTACAAAGTCCTCACAAGTATACCTCATAAATGTTGCAAACCCCCCCCCCCTTCCGGACTACACCACAGAGTTGGTCCGCAGCCAGATTAATCCGCGCCTTCCCTAGTCAGCGTAGTACAACGCTGTGACTACTTTTGACGTACAAGAATGGATCTACATAGCAATACCTTTCACTTGTAATTTGTCAGTAATGTTTCATAATAAATGTTCATAGTTGAAAAGTGTGTTTTTGGACTAGGGTATGTTTAACCTTTTAATCTACTGTAATAGGTTTAATGTGTTAAACAACCTTTATCAATCAATTTATGAATCATTTAACATCCCCATATACATAGCCTTTTTTCAGATTAGTGTCGGTTGTTTCCATTGAAGTTTTGTAACTATTTAAAAAATGGATCATCTTTGTAACTCTTCCCAAAAACAAGATTTATTCTGCTTTTAGCAATTTCTCATCAATCAATAAAATTGAATGTACTTATTTTAGACAAGATTTCTTGTGGTAGATAATTTGTTACGATAACCCATCTAATGATTTTAGATTGATCGATACCAGCTAACTCCTACAATAGATATTTGCGCCGCACCTTTCCGAGAGGCTACGATCAAGAGAAAACAGTTATTAAGAAACTGTAGGTAGTGGTAGCTTTACTACAAATAAATGGGAATTCCGAACTAATCAATGTGCAAGCGCTGTTACCAAAGAACATCTGTGAAATATGTTAAAAAAAAACACAGTGATCATAGAAATGCTAGACTGCCAGTGAGCATGTGCACTGAGTAAGTGACAATATTGAGCATGCCCATTTACCAAAATGACGTCCCAGGAACCACACAGCGTCTGCAAAGAGGGTATGAAATAAAATTGGGAAACATCTAATTTTTTATGCAACAATTAAGCGTGTGCAACTTAAGCTAACACGATCATGCATGGCTATGAAAATTGAAAATAATGAGAATTCCGTAGGCTATTATTTTTATGTTTATGTGTCATATAAAACAAATGTAGTGAAGATGATATAGGTCATTCTCAAGAATACATTAATTTATTAAGTTTGGAAATACAAACCAGTCAAAAGTTAAAGATGTTGCAGCATTTTTTATAGGAAATATTTCTTGTTATATTCTTAACAATAACCCTCCACTGTAACACCTTTAAAGCAACAGTACACAGCTCTTATTTTACAATTTGACCCCTGAACAAAACATATTCTCTCAAAAACTCCCACAAACTTTTAAAAAACATGCAAAACTATTGCATTTGTGTATTCATATGCTTTTGCTGTATAATTATCCAATCACTAGGAGCTCCGTATGAGTAGACTTACCTGATAGTTTGTGATTGATTTAGTGATGTTGGTGACCATGGTTTTAAAAGGTCTTTTTTTTCTTCATGTCTACAGTTTATGAAACTTGTAAACTGTAGACATAAAAAATAATTGACCTTTCAAATTTTTTTTTTTTTTATGTCTACAGTTTACAAGTTTCATAAACTGTGATCAAGTATAAAAACATGCAGTTGGAGATAATGGAACTTTTCTCTTTTCCTCATCAACCTTTTATTCTTATTTTTTCTTTTCTTTACCATCCTTTTTTTTTTTTGATTATCGCCTTTGTATTTTTTTTTTTTTTTTTTCATTGATTATCGTCTATGTATTTTTTCCTTCAAAACTTTTTTTGGTTGCTTATATATTGATGTATTTAAGAATGGTTTAAAAAGTCTCCACCTTACCTTTTAGCACTTAATATGATTAATAATAAATAAAGATAACCTTCACACCATTCCTTATGGGGTAACTTTGTTTTATTATAAGCTCTTTGAAAGCATTTTCATTTTCATTGTCAATAGTTTTTATCATTACTTTTGACACCGAACATAGTAATTGTGCATGTCCTGTTGATTTTAACATGAGCCTTCCTCACTCTAATCAAAATGTATCTCGAAGGGCGCATCATATATCACTGTCAACAACTTTTAATCGGTATGACAACACATAAAACTTAATTCGTTTAAATTTTGTTTACTCTATTTCAGATCAACCACTTACGACAAACAGCGGCTATGTAGGCTCAGTTCTTATTAGTAAAATTCCACATATTCCAGTGTAAGTTTTTGAATGAGAGTATGGTATAAATACTTAAAAGAAAAATAATGCTTAAAAAAGAATGAGATTTCGACTCCATTTTTAAATATTTTTTTTATATTAAATATTTATTATACATGTTTCAAAAATGATGTTTTAAAGATAAACTTACTACGGTGAAATTCACAAATTCAAATATATGAAAAGTGGAAAATTACTTATTAAAAGGATTAAATATAATTCTTGCCTTCCCAAAACCAGCATAAAAAAAATGAAAATTTACTTTTTAATATATTCATATTATCCACATTTTAAAATGATGGGTCATCGATTTACTATTTCCCAAGTTATGAGTAAAAGTATTACGGCTTCTCTGTGCGAAAGTATACATTCTTATGCTAATTACTCAATTTAATTATTAGCAACTTGTTGTATATTCATATCTTTAACTACTTGCAAATTATGATGTTAAAGCATTTATATATACATTTTTGATATTGTCAATTTTTCCTTGATTTCAGCTCTTGTCAAGACAACCCAGCAACACCTAGTTCATCATACAATCCTGGTTACGATCCTCAGTCACCAGGATCGTCATGTCCACCATCAGTAGGCAGTATGCATGGCGACCAACAAGCCATGGGCAATATGCAAGAATCTATGATGAATGATATTGGGTAAGATAATGTTTACATCTCATCTCATCAGTGACATGCCAGCAAATGTGATGACAGTATCGACATGCCAGTACACAAATACGTTCAGTACAATAGCCTACACATGTTATTACTAGCAACAACCATATACAATCAGACTACTCATTATAATATTAACTTTCTCAAGAAAATCTTGTTGAATGTGGACCAATGCATTTCATCCTACAACTGTTCAATATACAGTACACCCTTTAATTTTAAGACCCTTCTAATTTGAAACCACTTTTTCTAAGAACCAAATATCAATCTTAACACAAATCTAACCCTGTAAGTTGGGACCAAACCCGAGACCATCCCAAATTTTCAGGTCCCAAAAGTGGTCTTGAAAATGAGGTTGAACTGTGTGTATGTTCTTATAATTCCTTGGTCAGTATAGGGTTTTGCTTTTGCACCTGTCCAATATATATTGTGGTTTTTCTACACCAGGACAATATAAGACTGACACCTGGCCATTATAAGACATTTTTCTACTATCTTTTACACCTGGTCAGTGTTTGGCTGTTTAAAATATGTCCCATATGGCGGCTGGCCAATATGTTTTACTCATGCATTTGGCTTTGAAATGATTATTTCTGCCACAGCTACTACATGTCTTGCCCCTGTCTCTTATACACATCTAGATGTGTATAAGAGACAGATATACACTTTGCATACTCCTTCAGCCAAGATAACTTGCAGAGGCAGACCACTTCACAACTTGAACTTGTCTCCTAAGAGTGCCCAATTGGCATAAATTTTCATCCTTTTTTTTTTTTTTACATTTAACAAAAAAATAATAGCTAAGAGGAGCTATGACTATTCTCATAAACCTTGTCATAATATTAGTTGGCATGTACTGTTTATTTTATTTTATTTATTATAGACCTGTTTTCTATACCTCAAAGCTCATTTATGTATGTATAAAGAAAATGTTTTTCTGCGAACCAACAATAGCATAACAAGGTCAAATCGCAAAGTAGAGATTACAATGTTCCAATGTTATCAATATCAACAAATTTTTTTTTCAATAAAAATGGTATACTTTACAATGTATCATCGATTAAATTTCTGCAATATGATACAATAGGCCTATATACCTGGCCAATATAGGACTGTTCTCATACATTGGTGAATTTTGAGCTAGGTTTGAATTGTCTCAATATTTTCTTGCAATTTCCTTACCAACTTTTGAAATTATTATAGGAATTTATTGTTTGGGTATAAAATTAAAAAATCCCTTAATGTATTTTGAAAATGCTGAAAAAGCCACAAGCTTTAAGTAAAATATTAGGGTTCGGCTTGAAATTCTGTTACCATTTTCGCCCTGCAACCTGTGAGAGAATTTTGTGTTACTTGCGGTTAATAAAGTACTGTGAATTAAGGAAAATGATAAACACCAACGCTATAAATATGTGGCCAACGCTCCTTTAGATATTTAGGGCACCGAGTAAAATGTTTTTGTGCAGGCCAGCATTAGCATAACAGGGTCAAATCACAAACCACGCATAATATTAATGTTTCAGTGTTACTGATATCAACACAGATTATTTTCAATAAAAACAGTTTACAATGTATCATCAATTAGGTTTCTACATATAATAATGTCAAGTAAATACATTGTACTATGTGACTAAAAAAAGAAAAAGTATACAAGTCGAACCGGGTCTTAAGCTATTTTTGTCAATTATTTCTACTAGTATTTTTTCCCATTCTGATATAGTCAACAATTCCTAATTTCTAATCATCCTTTTCTTGATGTCTTGATGATCTTTTCTAGATATTCCTTATTCAAAAAATTCTTCCTTGATTTCCTGAATCATGAGCCTCACATTATTTTGTATACATGCAAACATACTAAATCGCTCATCTCATTATTTGTATATGACTAGATATGGCAAAACCTTACCTTTGTCGATAAAATTCAAAATTCGGTTTGCTTGTATTTTAAAATTATTATTATTATTATTATTTTAATATTTTTTTAAAGTTATTTGATGAGAATTATTTGATTCATTGGATAAAAGCTAATTAAGTTTTGTGAAACATCTTTCAGATTCCTACGTCAATAGTTTAATATATAAGTATGTGCTTTTTAATATTTATACTTTTCTGTTCGATTTAGTCATTAATATTTGGTTGAAATATTCTTCAGTATCTCTTCATTCATAAACTGCGAAAGATTGGTTGAGATTCTGACTCAGACATTTTGGCTGCTAGTGCGCAATTTGAAATGCCAGCAAATGTAGGGTTTTGCCAGAGCTGGTTACAAAATTGTATGATTCTATGTCATTATTATGATTATATGGTAATGAAAATATTTTCATTATAAATAATTTTGCAATATGTTATTTAACCATTTTAAATGCATTGTTTATATATATGGTATATTTGTTATCTATAATGATGTTGCAAGAAAGAATTTTGCAAATGATATGTGATGTTCGGGTTTTCCTCTCCAAACGTCATCGGTGTCAGATGATTTATTTGTGTGTATTTTGGTCGTAATCTTCTAAAATCTGTCTGCAAATACCTGTTATTTTGTTTGTATATATTTGCTGTCTTTAAACTCCAAAGTAATAGTCATTTATAATTTTATATACAAAAATGGAAGTAGGAACCAACTTAAATGTCATTTGCTACTGAATATCATTAATTAGACCAATACAATTACCAGTACCATCTATATATTTTAATTCTTTAAAATCATAGTATATTTCTTTTGTTCTTGCTACCATCAGTTAAAGATGGTTTTTATATAAATTCTATTGAGTCTGCTGGTTGATAGTAAAGCTTGGGTGACCAGCTATCAATATCATAACTGCCAGTATTTGATAGTAATCTTATTCTGCTTCTCAACATTCACTTGACTGTCAAAAGTTTAATAAGAATGAACATAAGAGACCATTTTGTAATATGCACCCTACCATTCCACATCAATTACCATTACCATGATAAAATCTTTTATCTAGTGAATGTGTCATTCTATATCCTTGGTGGGCAGAAGTTGTGCTTAATTGTCATTTTCTAAAGAAAAACACCCACAGTATTAAACCTCATAGATTTCTCCAAAATTTACATTTTAAATATTGGATATTAAAAGTTAGAAAATATAAATGTAGTTTTTTCTTAAGAAGAAAATGCTCATTTAAATATTTGAAATGGAATGGAATATAATTTACTAATTATACACAATTCAGACATTACAAATTTCCCATAGGCATTAAAAATGCCTATGTTGTTACTCTAAGGTATTGACAAAAGACATAAATAACACATCAATTTACTATGCCAAAGGTGAAGAATTTAAAAGCATCATGCTATACATTTTTCTTGGTAAATTAAAGATTTGTTGAATTGTCATATTATATATAGATTGCAACATTTGTCTAGGAACTATGAAAACAAAATGTTTGTACTGTACTATAGTCAATTCTTCCATAGTGTTTAAGTGTTAATTAAGAGGAAAGTACTACACCAAGTGTTATATATAGTCCTATAGTGATGACGTGGGCTCCTCAGTGTTTTTTTATTTTATTTTATTTTATTTTTTAATGATTTTTGTTTTGTTTTGGGGTGGGAAGGGAAGGGAATAGTTTTCAGGATATTTTATGGTTGACTTTATAAACCATAAAATAATTGCAACATAAAATATAAAATATAAATATAAAAGGATTGCAATATAGCAAACTTTATCACAGTCAAAGTACCACAATCCTCCACGAGACTAACTTATAGACTTGTAGTCCAATTATGAGACCTTTTGTGTCATCCTCTGCTCTTTATCTTTTCTCCCAAGTGTCTTGAGCACTTTTAAAATATAGTTTTTAAATAGTTGTATTTATTAGTAAATAAATTTATATTGTCACTATCTTCTTATATATTTATTGTACTAGCAATTAAGTTAAAGACAGTCACTGATGACAATTAATAAGCCCATACAGATTTATGTTAGTATTATTTTTATTAATTTGGAAAAGATTTTATAACTGGTATCATTATTTTTATCAAGACCCTTTATTTGACTGTTAATCAATTTAAATGGTTTTTGTAGTTTACAAATTCATTATTTTGATTTGTTTCTCAAGTTAATAATTTACTTGATCCTTGTGAAATGAGGAATTTAATGTTGTATTGTATTTTGAGGATATTTTCCCAGAACTAAAAACATAATTCTACCTGTAAGATTCTAATAGATTTTGAAAATTCTTTTTTTTTATCTTCAGTACATTACCATGCAATTTACAAATGTTTTTACTTTTTTCTACATTTATACAATTATTTCCGCAGGTTCTCTTTTTCTCAAAAGTATAATTCTGGCGGAGTATATGCGCTCAGCCGTGCGCACTATTCATAAGTTAGAAGTGTGTGTCATCTTTTATTAGTCTTTCCATTGATGGCATTAAGTCATCAAATCGTTTACATACTTTGCACCACGGCATGTATATACTCACTTAACAAATCTTCGGCGTTGCTGCTCTCTGATTATTCTTGTGGCATTATCTGTCATTCAAGTAATTGACTTTTTTATTCAGCGATTGAAATTCGACTGTATTTATTACTGGACATTTTCAAGCATGTAGATAAGCAAGTTATCGTAACCTGTAGGCTGTGAGATTCCTATGTGATTGTCGAAAAGTAATATTGATCATTTCTGTTCTGCAATTGGTGCATGTAAGGTATGACAACATCACCAAATTGACGTTTTGTCATTTGTAGTTTACTTCGTTGAAAGATTACAAAAAAAATCAGAAAATAATTCACATATTTAATTTTTATTATGCCAATTTGATATATAAAAAAATACTCATCCATATCTTAATGTACAAAGTTTAAAAATTAGAAAGGAAACAAGGTTATATTTGGAATTAATTTTTAAAATACAAAATGATATATAATATATTTAATTTACTTCATTCATAATTGATAAATAAGATTATCTTATTTAAGAAATTAAGAATAAATTGGTTGTGTAATAAATATTTCACAATATATTTTTTTTATATATGTTGTTTAAAATAATTGATTGCAGTCTAATCTTAAGGTCCTTGGGTTAAATCCTATAAATACCAGGATTTTTTTTTACAGGTACTAAAACAGCCCCACTTCCTAATCCTTATGTTTCTGATTAAGAAATAAATAAAAAATGAAATCAAACCCTTTAAATTGGTGTTGCAAATTCTAAGCTGTATTAGTTAAACGAGCCAACAATAAAAGTATTTGCAGTAGAATCTCTTTTCTGTGCTAATTCCGAAGTTAAATATTCAATGTGTTGTTGATGGTAATGCTATAAAGATCTGAATTACATTTCTTTGAAATAACATCAAAATATCTAGGTTATCTTAGCAGAATAGACAATGCAGAAATATTTGACATAATTAATGTCGAAATATTAAACAGAATCCCAACACGGTGGTGTACATTACAGAAATATTTATTGTACGAAAAAAAAAAAATTGCTTTTTAAGCAGATTTATTAAAAGTATAGATACTTTATACATTTCACTCCACTTCATGCAAACCATGTAATATTATCTTCTTCGACATAATATTGATAAAAATATAATTATATTAATTTTTGATAACATATATGTCCTATCATTACAACTATCAGATTTAATTTATTGTTCTTGACAGTTTGTTTCGCTAAGCATTATGGAACAATACAGAACCTAGTACAAATACAATGTCAATTATCATTTTTGTACCACTGAGTTATAAATGTGTGAATTAAATAGGGGTGACAAGGTATTGTAACAATAAGTAACAGTGGCAGGTCCAGAAGTTTAATATAGAAGGGGGCCCAGAGATAGACTTTCAGAGAGGAAGGGTCTAAATACTACCCAAGCCCCACCATGGAGTGACAGTATTGGAACAATGAGTAAATGAAAACAACAGGTAATATAATTCCAGACCACTTTATAAAAGAAATCTTTCCATATAGATAACCAAGTGGAACCCCTCCTTTGAGACATCCCTATTCAGGGGACACCCCTACTGGGGACACTTTTTCATGAAAGAAGGAGAAATATATCTTTTTACACTACAGAAATACCTAATTAAGGGACACTCTTATTAAAAGGAAACCCCAAATAAGGGGATGGTGCACTTTTTGAGTTTGCTAAATTGTCAAATTTCAAACCCAAATCTTTCACTATTTTTTTTATGTTATGACATGAATTATAGACTTAAAATAATAATTCAATCAGTTTTAAGCCATAAACTAAATAAATCAAACCAGAATTTTTTTCTCGAACTTTAGTAGATTCAGTATTAGCCTACTTTATCAAGTCTTTATACATTTGAGCTGTGCTTTATTATTATGCCGTCTATTGTGGATTTCATAGAATTGACATTTATTATACTGTTGCTTCACTTCGTATGAACCAATCTAGTCAATATTTCCCCTTTAGCCATTGGTATGATTTTACTTTTTATTAAAGTATTAGTTTAGATGGGATTCCAATTTGCAACCTGATTTTTAAGTCATTACTCATTCTTCCTACCGTACTACATCCAATAGAAAGCAACCATAAAGACTTGTTTTAATTGATTGATTGTTGTATTGATGTTATATCATAAATATAAATTAGTTTAATTCTATTGTAATTCATTCTTTGGGTAAATTAACCTGATTTCTAAATCATTACTCATTCGTGATACTGTTTATGTACATCCATTAGAAAGCTCAATATTGTAAACAAAAGTGAATATTTGATCATGAAGTACTTAATCATGAAGTAATATATAAACGTTTTAGTTTGGCCTTCGAGGCTCCATAATTTTATCTAGGAGTTAGAATTCTACTTAGAATTTCATCAAATTTACACATATTGGACAGCCTAAGCTAACTTTTTCCATTCTTATGCAAAAAATAAGGCAGACATAATTTTATTAAATATGATTGAACAATAGAATATTAATCATAACCCAAACCAGCCAAGCTAATTGTTTTCTTGCAGATGTGTTATTTGGACACGCATCGCAAACGTATGTCTGACCTCTGACAAATTCTCCTGGAAATTGGCTTCCACAATTTGGGACACATAAGAAAGTATAACAGCTTTTTTTTTAGTCCTAGTCCCCCGCTAGTCTAGTTCTGTACAGGCTATTGGTCACCCTTAGCTACAGTGTAGGCCTTCTTCACTGACTGCTGGTCACCCTTACTGTAGCTAGACCTTCCATATGGACTGCTTCTCATGCGTCGTTTGGCCTTCCTTTAGTGACTGTTGGTCACTGTTAGCTTCAATACTCTGAATGCTAGTGTCCCTTCATTCTTTCTGACTGTCAGTATCAGCTTTGTATTGGCTACTGGTCACCCCTAGCTGCCATACAAAGAAGAGTAATTTTTTCAAAACAGTTTTTTTTTGCAACATCATTGGATTGGAATGTAATATTATGTTTACTTATTAATATTAATTATAATTATTGATTTAAAATGCAATTTTGCCTTGCCATTTTTATAAATTGGTGCAAAATATATTCGGGAGCTCATAGTAAATTGGGTATAAATCTGTGAAGCAAGTAGTGTGGTGGGTGTACCAAATTTCCCATTCAGTCTCTGCTTGTAATCTGTGACCCAAGGGTTATGTTTGCACAGAGTACTCGTCCCATTAGACCCCATTCACGTCCATGATTATAACATTGAAATAACCGTGATAATGAGGACTTTTCCTCCTATCTCTATTTTCATTTCCCCTTGCTTCGACAGTTGATGAGCTGAAGGCCTGTTCTCATTTTCCCCTCCTCTTCCCATCTGTATTTTCAAGTTCTGACTATCCAGGCGGCTTTGACGAAGACTTCGATTTTAGCTCTGTCTCCCTTGATGACTACACCCAAGAATACGTCCCTGACATACCGATGGAGGTGATGGAGGAACTTCTAAGAGGGTTTGGGGTCGAAACTTAACGTCATCTGCTGTTCGTCAGGAACCTGAGCAACGCAAGCACAGCTTATTCAACCCTGACATATAACAGATTTGTAACAAAATGTAGTTAAACAAAATGTGTGGTATATGTTAAACATCACCATACAAGATTCTGGAATGTACTGTAATCTATAAAACCTGTGTTGTATTCTGCATGTAAAGCCAAAATATCACCAGAATAATGAAATATATATTGTTATACTGTATAATCTTACTTATTAATTCACAACACTACAAGAGAGGTGACAAATTATTCGATCTTGTAATCTCAAATTCTGCTATTCAAATGAATTGTTCTCTTCCAGTGTGTTTTATTCTGTTGCTTTTTCTCGTGCAAGTAACTTGTAAAGAATTGCTTATTGTGTGTGTTCAATCTACAGATGCAAGATCTGCATGCTTCTAATCATTCATGCTATCTCTACCAAGAAAACCAAGTCATTTAACTGCATGAGTGTGTACTGTAACATATTATTTTGTTCTGTGTGCTTTGTACACTTTTTGTCAAATTATGTATTTGTAAACACACTCAAACATTGTTAATTCATATAAAGCTTATGTTTGCATATCGATGCGGATTACAAATTGAAATTTGTCAAATTGTTTTCATTAATGCCAGGAATGATTGACACTTTACAGAAAGATTTTTAAACTATATTAAATGCTATAAGATAACGCTTGCAATTGAGGAAGACAGACTGATATCTGTTGTCTCTGTAAGAGCAACAACTACAAGCATTTTAATCTACATCATATGTAGATTAATACATTAGTTTTCTTAAATTTAACATAGAATTTAAGTACTCCATCTTTTTTAGCTGAATGTAAATACACACTTGTAAATGTCGGTGACAGAACTAAGATCGGACTTTGAAATCATGTTGGAATACAGATGATAGAAGTGTACAAAATTGCATGACTGTAAAAAATATTCAACGAATATTTACTGAAAATGGTTTTGAAAAAGCTGATATGAATTATCATTGCTGGTCGCTTGATTTTGATAAAGGGGAGATGGATTTTTTAAAGAAGAAAATTGGCAAAAAGTGAACTGATTGGACAGGGCTGCTGAATTTATGAGGGGACATCGTGTGAAGTAGATGAAGATTTTGGAAAAATGTGCCAAGTGAAGGATTCATTTTGACGTTCTCTCAACCTTATCCGATGGTGCTTTTGAACTTTGAACTTGAAAACTCGAAGATCCTCAGCAGTTTGTTTTAAGGTGTAAATTAAATAGGGGTTATTTCTATGTTTTGTATACATCCATTTTCATGTGTTTTTATATGATGCCGGATGGTTGAAGATTGAGCTGTAGTAGTATAGTTTTGAAGAGGTATTTAACACAAGCATATTTTTCACCTCTCACTCGCACAGAGAACCTTGTTGCACCAGAAATCAAAATCTTATGTTGTTACCATGATCGTCATGATAAGAATATATATTTTAGAATAATTTCACAGTTCAGCCGTTTATTTAGAATAGAGTTTTTGTTTAAACTAATAAACCAAAGTGACACTTGTAATAAAGCTACTGAACTGATCCAGAGGATTAAAAAAAAATAATTTTTACTAAAATTAGATTTCTAATTATATTGAGCACGAGGTGCAACATGATTCCTGTGAATGGGAGAGTACATTTTGGTTTATCATAATATTCAGTAATTCTTTTGGTTTCGTGGATGACTACAGATGAATGATATGGCATCACCACAGACTTAATAACAACACATATGATAACACTATATCAACTGCAGAATACTAGGAAATTTGTACAGAAGTTAAAAATGTGGAGCCTGTAAAATTGCTGCAAATTTATTATATCACTGATATCACTATAGATATATGAAGTATCATAGATTGACTGTATGATGTGACTACAGACTTGTTTTTCCAGGGAACAACATAATGTACAGTATAGCATTTTTTCCAACACCTTGAAGGATTTGCCTCATGGTTAAAAAAACATAAAATCATGTTGATAATATTGGTGCAGCAACAAGCAATTTTACCATCAATATTATTGTATCAAATTTGTTAATATACTGCCTGAATTTCATGGAAATAATTGTCCCAATGCTACTTTAAAAATATGATTGTTATAATGTTAACCATGCAGAGGTAACCATCAGCAACTGTTATTGAAAGTTAAACCTTAAAAGAATTGTTGATTAAATTATTGTATGCAGCCTTTAGAACCTTCAAACTTGGTTGTTTTTTGTTTTGGTTTTTTTTTTCTGTCAAGGTAGAATCTATATTTGGATCATAAAATAATGTGAATCATTTGTAGATCTTGTATCTATTCCAATGAATATCCAAAGTATTGTACAATGTATTTTTTATCTTGTTTTCTCTTGACAATGATTAGAGTCTGCATGTTTTCTTCCCAATTTCAGTTTGAAATTATGTTGAGATATGCCAACATTTTTAAGAATATAGCCCAGAAAATAATATTGTTAATGTGACGTATTGGCGCATGTATGAAAACATAATTGCGCAGGTAAAAGTAAATGTGTTATAGCTTCTATAACTGTGTAATGCGTAGACAAGCGCACTAAACTTAGTCATTTGTGTTAACGACAAAAATAGCAAAGTCTAAATATGTCCACCTTTGTTGAAAATTTTCATGCTATCAACAGGCAAAGGGGTAGCTATATGTCGATCTATAGCTTCAAACCAGGCAGCCATGTTGACATGATCACTTTTGCTAAAATTTAAAAAAATCTCCTATTATGATGTCAGCAACAAATTGGCAGCAACTTTGTGTATGTCCACATTTGTTTATGAGGTATTCATAGTATTAAAAAATTGGATATCCATTTATATGCCCACAATTACTAGACACATTGATCGATAGTGTCAACATCGAAAGAGGTGACCATGTTAATATGTCCACTTTTGCTGAAAATGTACATCTATTTATATATATATTTTCAGCTTGGCTTGGGTTGTATTCATACAATTGATATTGAATGGTAGTTAATAACAAGTCAAGATTCACATTTGCTTCATATGAGAAGTTGATTCTGAATGTAAAGTAATGTTTCGTTCAGGAGACCTGTTTATTGCCTGTAAGTGAGGGAGTAAATATACCATAGATTATAGATGTCCTGAAAAGGTGAATTGTTTATGTATCAAACGTAGGTAAATTTGATTATATGAATGTTTTATTTTAATATGCATTCGCCAGAGTTGTCATATCCGTAGTTTTATTGTACGCGACCATATTTTTGGAACAAAATTGGAAAAATGTACTAAGATGAACAAGCATTTGTATGTTTATATATTTTTTTTAGTGAAAGTTATTACATAACATTGTTTAGTTTCAATTCCATTTTTTGTAGTTCTTAAATAGCTTGACGGTAATTTGCTGATACAGTAGTTTTTTTCTATTGTAGGTTATGCTAAGATTGTCTGCTATTATATGATTTCAATAAATCATCCTCCTGGATTGTCAGATTATGTCTCCAAATCACCTTGATTTTGTTTGTGATGTGTATAGCATAAGGGATCAAAGTTTTACACAGAAAATTAATTCATGCCAGTTTAACAAAGCGGGATGATATCGCACTTTGAAAAGGTTACTTTCAGAACCGTAAAGTGACTTGACAGCTATTGATATATAGTAATATTGATGATGATTGTGATGTTGATAACAATTATGATGATGGTAATATCACAAATGTGCGCCACGCTAAACATCTAATTACCAACCGCCTCTCTGGGCAAACCCAGCCTGTGGTGCCCAAAGATTTTAAACAACATACAAGCGATGTGCACTGCAGTACTACAGTACTTGCAGAACTTGCATTTGAACTAAGCTCACAATACTAAATGACACAGTAAGCGCAAAGTTTTCAACCCCCACAGTTTTAGCACATACCGTACCATGTTATGTGAGGACCCCAAGGAAGGACTCACAAATACCTGTGCCCAGGTCGGCTGGCAGCCCACCCACACCACCCCCCTTGAATCCACGAACTGTAAACAAAATGTACTGCCTATGACCAGTACGATATTTATATTGTGAAGAATGTTGTCAAAACTAAAACCAGATCAGGATGGATTGGAAGGTGAACATATCAACATAAAACTAGCGTATTGACCCATTCATGTTACTTCAATGACCGATGTGCAGACATGGCATTCAGTTGTGTCCTATATCTACATATACACTGTAATGCATTAAGTCCCATCATTATGCATTATAGAAGAACAGCGATTATTATGATGGTGATGACCAAGATCTCAATAATGATGATTATGATGATGACCATGCTAATGATGATGATGATGATGCTGAATATAACCATAATAAACAGTATGATGATACAGTAGTGTTCTCCTAGTTGGAGAAACGATAGTGATTGGACATTGCACAATTAGACACGATTATTGGGAGCTGAACCACAACACTGAGTCTACACCGATGCATAAGCTATCCTATGGTTACCTCGCCTTTCAGATGCAACGTTAAGCCGTTAATAATGCACTTCATTCATTATTTTAGAAAGGGTAGGGCACCGACCAGTTTAATTCCTGTTTGTGCATGTGATAAAAAAGCCAATGCTTGTTAGGCAAAGTTGCTATAGGGTACCGGAACCGGATTTATTTTCGGTATGCCTATTTTTCTCAGATATTAAATCTAACTAAATAAATATATCAGACAGTATTTTCAGATCTGTCTTTCTTATATGCAGGCTATGTAGTATAGCTTTATGTATGTACTTTTTTATTTAAATATTCATTCATTTAAATATTCATATATATAATTCATTACTTTTACATTATTTTGACAGGGTGGCCAAATCAGTAAAACGGGTGCTTTACACAAGCCCTGGTCGTTGACATTTAGCTAAAAATGCAACAAAGATAGCATAATTACTTTATACATAATACTGTATTCCTAATTATTCTAAGAAGCTTGTTATACTAACTGACGTCTCTATTCGTGATGAAAATCGGGTGTTTTTTTTTTTTAACTCGGATAACATTATTTGAATGATCGGCGTCCTGGTCAAATTTCCATATACAGTGTACTGTATATTTATATAGTATTTTATATTGTATCTGTATGTGTCCCTACTTCTCTTATAGTTATGAAAATTAGCAGCTTTTAAATCGGTCTGTGTTCCGTAGATCGAAATAATGCGACATGAAGCCCAGTCAGTACTAAAGAAGCTCAAGCACTTGCAGTGTCACAAGACAGTCAATTTAAGTAAATGCGTGCACCGACAAAACTCACTAATATGATCCCCACACAGGAATTTAAGGGTTTGCAATTCTGAAAATTAACTGGAAGTGAGTTCCAGAATCTGGCTCCTGAAACCTTTAAAGTCTCCCACATTTGTTTTCTATAGCATTTAATGTGTTACTACAGTGATTGTCATGCATGTCGTTCCAGCACCAATGGTCCTTTCCGAAGTGTCAATCCAACCTAACAACTGACCAATCAGAACACGGCCAGAAATACGCGCGTTTGTGCGACCTTCGCAACAACATCCAAGGGGCGGGGCTTAGCGGAAAGATGCATTCGATATTATTCCGTCAGTCTTGCTGGCACCAGCCCATTAACGCAATATTTCTATTAATAATAACATTCTTAATTTATCTATAGGTCCATCGTACTTGCTTCTTTGTTTTTTGTTTTTTGTTTTTTTTTGGTTTTTTTTTTTGCTGTGAGAAAATTTTTCTTAATATAAAAGTTGAATTGCTTCGATCTTTGTGTTGATAAAATATTGGGGTGGTATCATGGGCAATATATCTTTATATAGTATTATTATTAATATCAATCACCATCATTCATTTAATTTAAAATCACGATATCTATTCATGATAATATTAACTCATCTTATCACAGAGTCGCTCGTCCCACAAACCGCCGCCGTTAACATTTGGGGGGAAATCGCTATTAACAACTAATAGTTTATGCCAATTATGTAAAGAAGCTGAAAAGTAAAATCGTGTATTCTATATAAAAAAATTAAATAATGATTGAGATGTAAAGGAAAAATGAGAAAATGTAATCTAGTAATTGATATAGGATTAATAGATTGCTTCTCTGCAGTGCCTTGAGTTGTGTGGTTAAAGCCTCGATCGATAAGTGAGAAATATACATTTTCTGTTAAACTGAGCTGAAAAAATAGATACTGGCTTATAGGCAAATAAAAAATAATATTTGTTTTAATATGTTTTAATATATCTAGTAGGCTAGATTAAGAATTATTTTCAGTATTTTAATATGCAGATTGATTGTTTTAATTGTGTAAAAAATGTTGCAATGTGCATTTGCCTTTGTATTGTAATTTGTTTCGTGTTTCTTGCCAAAGAAAGCAATTTTTATGTATTTTTTATAATTTATTTAAAAATTAGATAAGAATACAAATTCTATTAGGCCTACGGTGCTTAAAGTATCCGAAACACGAATAGGTCATTGTTATTTAAAGTAAGTTCATAAAACAGTGTAAAATATAGGTCAAATTCTGATGAAAGTAACACAACACTGATTAAGTAATATGTTGATTCATATAGAATGGGAAAATGTTAATTTAATTGATATGGTTTAATCAACTATTCGTTGAAATTCTATTAACTGATAATTTTTTCATCAATTATTTCATTCAAAGTATCTCACAATCAGTGTAACCGTAAATAGGGCTTTAATGTTAATGTTTAAGTAATAAATGTCTTCGTAGGCTATTGTGTTTTGTAATGCTAATTGAAAATAGAGAAATTAGCTGCTCCCCAAGTTTTATGTAACCTTTTGGCTTAGGTATCCCTTCTCTTCCGTAATACGAAGTCGCACCTTTTTAAATCACACTTTTTCTTTGTTACACTATGTTTTTTAGAATATGCTGCAACAGTATAACGTACGAAGCAGAGCAAAAATACGCTCATGATGCTGAAAAAGTCGCAAAGGAAGGTTTCTAACGTCGTATCACTCTCGCGTGGAATGCAAACGAAGATGGGAGTTTATTGTCGTTACTCTGCTTCGGAGTTTGTGTTTTAATGTAAAGCTTTAGTGCGAGGATATAGATTTGTTAATATTTTCATTTCAGAAGTGGTAGACTAGTACATGCATCAATTCACTACCTACCAACCAACCATTACCATAAAAGGGAGCTAAGCGACGAAATTAGTAGCTGATATGAAGGATAAAAAGAGGAATACATAGGCCTATTCGTGTGGCTTGTAGCTAATCAAATCAAACAGTATTCGTCAAATGACAAATAGCATATCGTAACTAATTAATAATATTGAGACAATAGTGACATGCATATCTTAAAACAGAAAAAAACCCCATTAAAATGTGTCATAACTGTACAGGTAATTACTTACAGACTTATCACCATCACATTTATCATCTTCATTGTCATCATTTATCGTCATCATCATCATCATTATCAAAACCATTATAATCATCATCGTCATCATCATCATCACCAGCATCATACTGTAATTATCATCACTATTATCACCACCACCATTATCACCATCATCATCATCATCATCATCATCATCATCATCATCATCATTCTTCATTATCATTATAATCATCATCATTATAATAATCATAATTATTCATCATCATAACCATCATCATTCATCATCATCATCATCAACAACAGTAACAGAACCATAATAAATCGTCATAATTACTGCCACCATTGCCTTAATCGTTGGGAATGTCATTCTAGTAGGCCTGCATTTTACGATACACAGTATTCAACAACGTTAACATCAACAAGTTATAAATAGGCCTACTAGTTGTTATCGTGGTCTCATTTTGAGAATGAGATGCTCGAGAACGTAGGCCGATCCCTCTACTTCAGCTGACTTAACGTTCATGTGTCCTGCACTTTTCAATAAACACGTAAGTGAATCAAGTAGTGACACGGTAATTATTATGTTGGGTCGCTGTGTACTATCCTATGGTTACCTCGCCCTTCAGACGCAACGTTAAGCCGTTAATAATGCACTTCATTCATTATTTTGGAAAGGGTAGGGCACCGACCAGTTTAATTCCTGTTTGTGCATGTGATAAAAAAGCCAATGCTTGTTATTCAAAGTATAGAACTTGCTATAGGGTACCGGAACCGGATTTTTTTTTTCGGTATGCCTATTTTTCTCAGATATTAAATCTAACTGTATAAGTATATCAGACAGAATTTTCAGATCTGTCTTTCTTATATGCAGGGTATGTAGTATAGTTCTATGTATGCATATGCAGGGTATGTAGTATAGTTCTATGTAGTATAGTTCTATGTATATAATGCAAGCACTTGTTACCTTGCATTTGACTATAGCTTCACACCCTTTTGTCAAACAAATCAATGTACCTGATTATATATTCTACATAACAATTAGCTACACTGGTCCATATTATAGACTTACTATTGCTTTACTAACCTTTGGTTAAACAAATCACGGTATTCAATTATATATTCAGAATAATAATT